CAGTAATGAAAAAAATTACATAAAGTATCAAGAAATAAAATAAATGAAAATATAATAAAATAACTTAAATTGAATTAAATTATATAAAAATCAAATAAATTAAAATAATATAAACCAAAAGGACAAAATAAAATAATATTATACAAAATATAGTAAATATATAAAATGGAATACCTAAAAGAAAATAACATCAAATGACAAGAAATAAATTAGATTCCAATACCACAATATTAAAGAAAATTAAAAAAAAATTTAAATTAAATTAAACAAAAAAAAATACTAAATAAAATATCTTAACTGAGGTAAAATGCAATAATATTAAATAAAATTAAAAGCAAGATTAAATTAAATAATATATAGGTCGATAAAATAAAAAAAAATTAATATAAAAATAAAAATTAATATAAAAAATAAAATAAAATTAAATTAAATTAAATAAACTTAGTACAATAAATTAAAATAAAAAAAACCTTAAACAAACCAAATAAAAAAATTAAATAATGCATATGAAGATTAGATAAAAAATAGTTAAATTCATATTAAATAATTCAATTGAAATAAAAAGAAATAAAAAAAGTTAAATGTAGCAAAACAAAACAAAGTAAAATAAATTAAAATTATATAAAATAAACAGATTAAAGTAAAATAAATAAAATAAGATAAAATAAATGAAATAAATAAAATAAAATATAAAAAATTAAAATAAAATGAAATACACTTAAAATATATTAAAATAAAATAATATAAAAATAATTAATAATATGTAATTGGCGCCTTGTAAGCGCTGAAGCGATTTTCGGCCGAGCTCCTCCTCTAATTAGAGGTTTTTCCGTCTTGATGTTTTTCCAACACCTCTGAATGGCTGATGGTTTTTTATGTCTTTATTTAATGTCAGAAATACACTCGAAGAGGTTGATACTCCCTGCCGAAGGGCGACCGCAATTGGGAAATTTAACTTAATTCTTAATTTAAATTTTTTTCAAAAACTTTTAGGATATCAGTACGAACCAGAATTTAAACCTGAGCCTTCAGTATGGCTGTACGCTATGCTAACTAATCGGCTACCGCGGCCGCTATAATATAATAATAATAATAAAAATAAATTAAAATTATATAAATTCAAAGAAATTAAAATATAATAACCAAACCAAAGAAAAAATTACTAAAATGAAAAAGAAATTAAAGAAAATCAAATCGAATGAAATAAAATAAAGTAAATATTATATAATAAAATGAACAAAAATAAGATATTATCAAATAATTTGTGAAAAATTTAATGCAAATAAAATTAAATGGAATAAAATCAATTTAAATAAAATATAAAACAACTTGAGTAAATTAAAATTAACTAAACCGATAAAATAAATAAAAAATTAAATAGTAATAAAATTGAAAATCAAATAAAATATTATATGTCAAATGGTACAAGATGAATTACAAAATTTAATTAAACGATAAATAAAGTGCAATAAATGAATAAAAATCAAAGAAAACAAATTAATGTATTTGAAATAAATTTCATTTAAATGTATTAAAATGATTATACTATAGTTTATTTTGCTAAAAAAAAATTATTTTAAGTTAAGTTCAGTGAATAGAAAATTAAATTAAATTAAATGTAATTAAATCAAACTTAATTAAATAACCCAATAAAGTAAAAATAAAAATTACTTCAAATAAAATAAAATACGTAAAAAAAATTATAGCATTTCTTTTATGAATTTTTAATAAACTTTTATTGTAAAAAAAATTATTTTATAAAGTTAATGGACAATATTAAAATAATTAATATGAATAAAAGAACTTATATCTGAGCAGCAGCAACAAACTAGAGGCGTTTGACAGCAAGAAAAAAATTACCAAAAAAAATGCTATAAATATGTAATTTTGCAATTAATGTTTTTTTACACCAAATTGTCATTAAAGGCTTGTAATTAAACATTTGACATGCATTTTCGACACATACATACACACGTTACACATATGTATAGCACTTTACTCAGAAAACTAACTAAAAGCGATACAAAAAAAAAATCGCACAATATAGCATACACACCTAGAGCAGTATGTAAGTGTATATACATATAAGTATATATGTAAGTGCAGTAAGTAGGGAAGTAGGCAGGCCGTCGCATAAACGCGAGAGTGCCATTAATAACTGACATTTTGGCGCCCACATGCGGGCACGCGAAAAGAAAAAACAACGTAAGTCGACTTAAATGAGAGAAAAAAAAGAGAGCAACAACAATATACATTTGCTATGAAAATTTCAGCAATCGGTAATAAAATAGTAAATGAAAAATGGAAAATGGAAAACTGTAAAAATTTTCGGCTGGACTTTGGCTAACACACGCCGCTCTAGCTGTCTGGGGAATGTCAGTGATGGTGCTGGTGCTGGTGTTGCAGTGCTGGCTGGCTGGCCTGGCTGCCTGCCTGGCTGATTGGCGTACAAGATAAGTAATGTAAGTTTTTATTGCCACACATTACTGTCCGCTGTGAAGTACTTGCAGTGTAAGGAAAGCGTGGCGGAGGTGAAGAAGCAGCGAGGAAGTGGTCATAAATGTGGTACTTTGTGTCGCAGATTCTTTACGCTGATAAGTGATATTTTCTTCAGAAAAGAGAAGATATTAAAATTTTATATTTTGAAGTTTTACTGTTTTTTTAGGTTTAGCGCATTTCTGAGTGAAATTTAATTTCGTATCTTTCGGAAGTGGCATAATTTAATGTTCATTAGAAAATATAAAAAATAGTAATTATATTATTTTATTGTTTACTTTAGTTGCAAGTTCCAGGCTGTTAAGTAGCTCGCTTGGTCGGCAGCCCATGGATGCTGCAGTGAAGAACATGTTCCGCAAACTAAACTCACAACTGTTGGGTAGTTTAGTTGAGGTTAGGCTAGGTTGAGATGGCTGTTTCTGAGAGCATCCCAGATGCACATATGGGACAGAGACATGCCTGTTGTGATACCACATGAAAGTGACCATTCAGATTCGTCTCATAACTAGAAACACGAAATTAAAGTCGTCCAATGCAGTCACAGACGGTCACACAATCGGTATTTTTTTCAGCCGCCTCTTATTGTCCACTACAAATCGGAGATATTCACCACACGCAAAAAGTGAAAATATATATACTAGTGCTTTTTCTACTGCTTCAATATATTAGTTAGAGAATGGAGCAGATCCCACATAGGTTATATGTAAGAAGTGGCCTCTCTTCATGCCCTGTATAAATGCTATTGGTAGAGCCACTTAAGTTGGCTTGGGGGACTTAAATTCTATGTCGAAAGGTAAACAAAGTATTTTTTCAGATAACGGTAAAATATGAAGAGCTCTTATGCTGGTTCAACGGTATTTAATGCTTAATAAAAATCAAGAACCTAAGCAATGAGGATTTTGTTCCAAAAATTAGTAAAAAAAAATATCGACGCACAAGCTTTTATTTATACATATAAATTTATAGATGTAAAGGGTGTTTTTTTTAGATGTCTGGTTTTCAAGATGAAATAAAAAGCTCATGATTTGATTTAGGGCTAAATATGTAGCTTTATTGTAAACAAAAGGGTATGTCATTAGGTTTTGAAAATGATTTCGAAATGACCGCCACGGCAAGTAGCATCGCCTCGTCGGAACCAAAGATCCTCCACATCAGCAGCGTCTAATTTAGACACGAAAAAGTGATTAATCATTGCTCTATGGCACTCCCCATTGACTGTATTTTTGCAGGCTTCTTTTTATGGAAATATCAACCAATGGTTCCCTCTGTCCATGGAGCTCACTAGACACTGATTTTTGAAAGAGGTGACGGCGTCTTTCAATAATGGATTGTGCATCAATCTCATTCCACTTTCGACGTTTTCGACTAGATGTTCTAGCTAGAATTTTTGCACGGAATGATATTTTGGAACTCCACAAACCAAGCTCCTTCCACAAAATCTCCGTTAAAGTGGATGGGCACAGCTCCAATTGTTGCACGCCAAGCCGGTTGCACTCCTTCGGATCTTCCGATCGCTACTTTGCACCACGCTATTGCTGTCTTCGGTGTGACACCGAAAAATGTATTGCCTCATTAAAAAACATTCTTCCAAAAAAACACCCTATATACGTATGCATGTTTCAAGCTACCAAAAGAGTAACCTAATCACGCTTGCACGCCGCTAATACACCTTAAGTACCCTCATTATAAAAACCAAAAAAAAAAAAATATATATATATATATATATACATATATATATAAACATAAACACATTTTGACAATGTCAAAAAATTAATGCACACACACACACACATGCATATGAAGAAGCGTCGAGTTGACGCAACCTGTCAATTTTCACACAAAGCTTAGCAAGCGACGGTGCGAGAAAAAAAAAGATATGAGCAGACATTTACATACATACATACAAACATACATATCGCCATATGAATAAGTCACACCGTAAGGGTGATGACAAAAATAAAAATAATGAAAATAAAAAAATAAAAAAATTACCAAAAATGTATTGATAAACAATAAGTACAGCAACAACAACAACAACACTGACAACAACAAAGGACGCCGAAATGTTGCAATAACTTTGTCTGAGTCAATATAATACCAATAAATCCCAGTGACAAAGAGCCACCAACATCGAGTTCAACGCTTCAATGAGCTCACTCATATGTACATAGATACATACATACATACATACGTGTACATACCAAGTGGTCTAGAGCTCAACGCCATAAACACTATCACGTACATTTATACATATGCATGTACTTACTTTACAGTGTCTACTCAAAGTACGCCAACAAATTTCGACTTGTCCATGTACAAGCGTCTGGCTTCTCGAAGCAGACACATAAATTGCACTGAAATCCCTTGAAAATGCACGAAGGACAAACAAAAATACAAAATCTACTTTATAAATACTTCTACAAACTCATTGATTATATAACACAATATGTGTGTTTTTCTTCTTCTTTTTCGACTGAAGTTTAAAAGTAAATATTGTCGTCAACATGTTTTAAAAATAGATGTGCTGTGTAGAGTGTAGAAAATTGAATTTCAGGCAAATACTCTGGGGCATACGCTGAGTTGTGCACATCGTGGAGCTCGTTAATAAGGCTCGGTGTACTACCTACTCAGAGTGAGGTGAAAGGAGAGTGGTAAATATGAATCAGAAAATCAATAGCAAGAATGCTGGGACTTGCCACATTACAGAAGGGAGCAGTCTGATATGGGAAAATGGAAGATGAGTGAGAGTGAAATTAAATAGAAAAGGCTTGAAAGGTGAGGTAAACAAAGCACAAAGATAAAAGGAATTACAGTACAGCGCGAATGAGTGGTCAACAGCAAACAGCACAAAATTCTCTAGCACAATTGTGGGTCAGGACTACATTTTTATCTGTTAAGGAGTTGGGGTTACATCCAATCAGAAAAAAGTGAGAACTTTTCTTCTTTTCATAGTCACTTTCAAGTGTTAAATCTTTCGACCAGTTATTAAAGCTCTTCGCATTCAAGAATCTCGGCCTCTCGTATTTCCTCCCCGTAGATAACGCTCGCATCTCACTTCAGCTCTCGCCGCTCTCCACTACGCACTTATCGCAGTTGATCGGAATGTAGCGAGGTAAGCAGTTTGTTTTCTTTCCATTGCAGCATGAAATTTCTCATCGTAACAGCTCTACCTTTCATCCTTTCGTCCTTTCATATTTTGTAGACTTTGGTGGCGACACTTAAGAAGTTTGAGGTTATGGACAAAGGCTCACTTATACCTTGTTGTTCACGAGCGTTCTCAGAGGGCAGAAGTATAAAGCGACTAGAAAGCCTACCGACTGCCGGCAATGATTGCAGCTTCTCGACGTCGAGCCTTCATAGTAATTGGGGACGGACGCTCTTTGTTGCTACAAGAAAATAATCCGAGTCGATTTCAGTACCTAGAAGGGTACGCTCATCTAGAACGCTGAGAAAGCATGTCTTCCGTCTATCGTAACAACGATTTTGGTTTCGTATCTTTCCATACGGATGCAGCCAAGCAGATTGATATTTTTTTCCTTTTGCTGGAAACTTCAAGACCAACACCCGCTCACAGCCACAACTCTGCTAAGTATATGCTATTCTACCGCGAACCTTTAAACCGAAAATTCTAACGCAGTTTCATTAAGGTTTTCTTTCCTTTATCCGGGACCCAAAGCTGTACATTACCGTATCTTCCACAGGGGTACTACTTTTCTGGGTTATACGCTGAAAGCGAAGGAATTAGATATTGCCTGGCGTAAGTAGCTGCATACCCAGAAGCGAGACTCCTTCTTCTCTCACTCTCACTCTCTCTCTTACTGTACCTTAAATTGTGCTTAATTAAAATGTCACTTTATCTCTAAAAAGAAGAACTTATTTGTTTTGTTCTACGAAAGATCATGAAGTTCTTAAATTAGCGAAAAGAAGTCGCAGCTGAGGGACAGATTGTCGAGCAACTTATTTGACTGATTTTGATGCCGAAGAAACACCACAAAAGAAGTGAATACATTCGAGCTTCGAGCACAGAGAATAAATTAAACGATTTCAGAAATCCATTCTAAATCCTGTATATTATACTCCAGATTCTGTAGGGCTGGAATCAAATGAGAAATCTAAGTATCTCCCAGTGGTTCCAATGGAATTCTTTACTTTTTTATGATTTAGACTGAAAATCCATTTCGATTATCCATACGTTTTTTTTTTGGAAAACGTCGTATCCACGTAGTTTCATTGTAATAATCTTCTTCTTCTTTTTTTTTGATATTCCAAAGTTAGTTTATTTTAAAGCTTAAACTGGCTAACCCAATAGATGTATCATAGACGAAATACATCCATATTGCTTTAGATTATGCTACTTGGGCTGGTTGCTTCACCCTGACATAGACTTTTTGGTCTCTTGTTATGTCAGATGGAAGATTATAGGTTGAGCTAGAAGCATAAATGATAATTTTATGAAATTTCCTTCTCCGCCACAACCTCTTATCCCATTCACAAGTTAGAGCTCTAGCGCTTGGGTACCTCCTGATGATCACTTTGACGGCAGTGTAACGGACCTGAATCACCTCTCTCCTCCTCCTCCTCTAACAACTTTTTCATAATTTGCTTAAGGGAACTAACAAATTTTCATGTTACTCGCATAGACAATGGTCTCTCAAGACCACAATAAGATCGCGTGGAGAGAATTTCATTATGCGATCTATCGGTCTATGAACTCATTTGAGTTTCGCCTTCTATTTTTCCACCCAGGAACCCAACTAAAACGTCATCTACTCTGTTTAATGATCTTTTGTGTAGATCGTCGACCGTTACAGCATAGGTTAAAGGTCTAACTTGTACCTAGTCGAACGATTTTTGTCTGTTGCACTGTAAAATGATTAAGATGTCTCGAAAAAGCAGCCAAAATCCACGCCTGATTTGAATAAGTGTGGTAAAAGCCCCCATAATACCATAGAATATTATTACTCACGGAAGAAATGCGTTAATAGCATAGTCAGCTGTGAGATGTTCTGTACAGAAGGGTAAAAAATCAGCATAGAAAGACTTTATGCTGTCCAAGTCGATGATTTTCGGACGATTTTTGGCCTTTTATTGACAAATCTTTAAGGAAAACCGAAGTAGCTTCCAAAAATCATGCTTCACTTGACTGAGTTTGCCAAAGGTTTCGGTAGCCATCAAAAGGGTGGTAAATTTAAGAGCGCTAAGTGTCTATATAGAGCTGTAATATCGATCTAGACGCATACTGTAGATGGAACGTTCTTGGGAACGGATCTTGGGTAATACATTATTCATTCATTTGAAGGTTCTTTGGCTCATCAAACGTTTTTTTTCTTAAACAACGTAAAAGAGCACTAGAGAACAACATCTAATGAGGAATCATTACAGGAAGATAACTCCACATGAAAAGTGAGTGTGTAAAAAAAGAAAAGAAATTCAGAAAGCAGCAGAAGCAGGTAAAAAGAACATACAAACACAGAAGAAACACACAAGGCATAAGCCGATATGAATGAAAAGGAATGTGAGACTCCGGAAGAGCTCGACACCATACAACCATGTACAACAATAACAATCCAGATAAAGTCAATATGTTTAAGTAGAAAAAGGTGCCGAAATTTGTAAATTAAACATACAAATTTACATAATTTTTTTCTCTCCATCACACACACACGCAGACGAAAATGTTGAAATTCTTCTCCGCACGAATATTTGCTTGGTGTGTAAATATTTAATTTCACGTGCCATGGGGCAATTGGCAATCCGTTAAAATATACTTACATATTGTCTATATGTACATTGTAGAGTTGCTACGGCATTGAACTTAACGAGACCAGAGCTGGAGTGTAGAATCTCAAAGGTAATAACAGATATTTTTGTATAGGAGTCTCGCTAGTCTTCCAGCGCTGGAAAGAGGGTGGTCATAGATACAAATATCATACTCCGGTAACCAGTTTCAGCCAGGAAAGGACATCTCCAACATGAACCGAGACGGTGACGAAACGAATGTATCTTACAGTGGAGTTGAGTTGAGTTGATGCGCTTGCTGGGCTGAGACTTCGTCCCCTTGTGATACCGCTGTGAGGCTCATGTCTTCACCTTCTTAAATGATCGAACAATTTTGTGTGCCTTATATAGGCAACGAGATTCCCTGAGTCCAGCTCATCGAGACAGTCGAAGAAATATTTTCCAAGGGACGTGTGTCGCGCAGATGGCAAGGCTGGACATGGACCGTGGTGGTGTTCTATAGATTTCTGCTCGTTTTTGTCCCTACAGCTTTGGCAAATATCTGTAGAGTGTTGGCCCCATTCCTTTCCCGTAAAACCCCACTAGAAAGTTAATTGTTATCATACTAGTCGTTATGTTAATGAAGAGCCGGTTTAAAAGGATAACATGTTTGGATTTTTTCCAACTGTGCGCGCACGTTGTACCAGATCCCATTCAGCCCTCTTGAGGTTGCTTCTCAACGTCGCATATTTTTCTTGTGGATCGAAAGGTTCCTTCTCTCGCTAGTTCGTCTATCATGCAATTAGCTCGTTTGCAACTGTGTGCGGGTCCCAGATCTGTCATGCAATTGTCTGGGATGTCGCTGTGTGAAGGAACCCAGTCCATAGCAGTCTTGCTTCTTAAAGTCAACTTTAATGTGTTACTGTTATTTTGTAGAGAACTGTTGGCAGCTTGACTGTCCGAATATATTCTAACCGATTATCCTGCAGCCATAGACTTAAGCAGCTACTCGGCGGCTTCCATGATTGCAAAGAGTTCTGCTTGGCAGACACTGCAGTTGTCTGGCAGTCTCATGCTCATATTTATTGAGAGCGTCGGAGAGTATATTCCACAACACACTTTTCCAACGAGCTTTGTGACTTCCAGTAACTTGGGGTCTTCGACTTTCACATGCAAGACGAGGCGGCACTTTTCGCAGGTTGTAAAGGGAGAAGTGGGAATGCTCGGGGAGATATCAGTTTACTTTCGAACACAAGATAACAAATAAGCTGGTTAGATCGAGCAATATCGAGTAGATATCGCTATATGAGAAAAAGGAAACACCCTCTGGTAGAAAAAACGGAACTACGAAATCTTAACATTAAATAAAAGCTTGGAAAGGGTATCACACTTGCTTCGGACTATTGAAAGCTGACCTTCAGCCCTGGTGGTAATGAGAATACCGCAATTTCCGATAGCAGCATTGCAGGCTTTGGAGAGTTCCATTGCTACCAGGGCACGGTTGCAGTAAGGTCTTAAAGCTCTTGCCCAACTCCATATACCGCACGCTATTTGGTTTCAATTTGTTTCTAATCTACGTGGCGCCAGAATTGGGCAGAAAAGAGATTTTGAATTTAAGTTTTCCATGCCGAAGTTAAGTATGAAATGAAGGATTTCGACTTTTCAACACCGAAATCAAAGATCTCTCTACAACCATAGCTATAGCATTACATACATATGTTCATTAATAAGTGAGTAAATACGTGCACAAGGCATGCAAATGTATGCATTTGAGGTACGTATGCACACAGTTAAGGGATGAAACTGCTGTTAATGCCTCCTCTACTACTACTTTTTCTTCTTCTATTATTCGTCCTTTGTTCTACTCTCCTTTATTTTCGTTAAGCAGGCGACGCTGCCATTCATTCAGAAAAGCAGGTAACTACCATATTTTTTATACATACATACATACATTTATAAGTATATGAAAGACGCTCGAATGCCGTGTGGTTGCATGTGGCAAGTCAGGTACATAGTTTTGTTGTAGTTTTATGTTGTTTGATGTTTTTGAAAATAACTTGTTGAATTTTTTATATGCCCCTAAAGGCGAGATACTACTTTGTATGTATGTGTGAGTGTATATGGGTGTGTGTTTTGGATTCTCCGTAGGAATTGAGGTCAAATGTGAGGCATTTTTTTTTTTCATTTTGCGTATTTATCATGGTGTTGCACAATGAGCAAACATTAAGGGAATATTGTTTTGGCTCACAATGGCAAAGGGAAAATAGGTATTAAGTTTCTGATTAGTGTCTTATATGTATGTAGGCAGTTAAGTGTGTTTTCAGTGGCATGACTGTAAAGGAATTCCTACTTTTGGCTAACTTTTTTCTGTTTTAATTTCAAAAAAAAAAAAAAAAAAAAAAACCAGCGCGTCGATAATGAGGTTAATCCTTGGAATCAAGAGGATTTCGTTGTTTGTTGGAGAGAAAAGGTGAGAGTATGTGCTACGCGAGTACAAAGAGTGGTGGAGTATATAGAGTATGAGGCAGCTGAGAAAATGGACAAGAAATAGTAAATTGACGAATAAATCTCGAAAAATAATATTTTTTTCAGTTAAATATGAATTCTGATACTGACTTCCTGGTTCCTCTACCGAATATCTAAGGAAACGCAATAACTTAAATGAAAAAGAGAAGAACCCACCTCGCTTCGAAGTGAACCAAAATATTCTACGGACCCATTGCCCATTCTCTTTTCCTCGGGTCAAACTCAGCTCTTACGAAATCATAAAACAGAACACAATCAGAGAAGCTTTACGGACAACATTTTTAGAATCAATCCTCACTAGTAAAATTTAGGTTGCAAGAGTACAAACACAAAGGAAACCATAGTCCACATATAAGTTTACAATTCACTTTCGATCACTCACCTTTCCGCCCACTTTCAGCGCATAGCCCATCCCTTGGGGCGTCTTCAATTGCACCGGACACACAAAACCGATATTGCGATGCGGACCGTCGGCATAATTCTTACGCGGCGTCACTTTCGGTATACTACGCGTCGGTGTCGGTGTCGAAGATGTAGTATTCTCCGCTACACACAAAGCCTCACCACCATTTACGGGAAATTTCGAACATTCCAAATTCTCCGGCCAATTGAAATTGTATGTCTTCATGAGTGTCTCACAAATACGCGCCGATTCACATAACGAACGGCACGGCGGTATCGGCTGTTCGAGTATCGTACAAACGGGCACATACAACGAACACAGAAAGAGTTGCAAATCGGGACTACAACCGATTTTGACGAGTGGCGCAAATTGATGCACCTCCAAACCGGCTTCCTCCTGTTTTGTGTGACCGATTAAATTCGGCATTATTGTCATGTTGTAGGGTATATTTTTACAAATCGATATGGTAATCGGTTCACAGCGATTGTGATGCGGAAATGCATCGCTCGTCATGGCTGATGAGCTTATCATTTCACCCGAAGCGGAGGTGCGATAATAGGGGCTGGCTTCGACGGGCGTCTGCTCGTAACGATGTACAGCGCGCACTGCGATTGGTGGTGTGAGGCAAGTGAACGCGGCGACAAATATGGCACAGATTAATGTGTTGCTGGAGGCGGCGGGACGGTCGTGACTGCGACGGCGTGCTGCCGTCGGCATTACACTTTGATGCGCGTACATTTTCGCGGCGTAGTAGTTGTCGGAGATTTTGCTGGCGATTGGATAGATTTAATGAGGTGGGTTATTCACAATTAATATTATTATTTGCTTACTTTATTGTGTCGACTTGTTTTGACCTTTTAGCAATTCAACCCATCAATCCCACTTCACAGGAATTTTAATTATGTAAGGGAACACTTTTGTGGGTTTTTTTTTTTGTTATGGCGGAGTATAATGATGGATTTTAAATTTTTTTTGCTTTTGCAATAATTATTTTCAGTTGATTAAACACTTAGCCAGCAAAATTTTTATAATTTTTTATTTTTAATTTCCTTTAATTTGATATTTGTTTTTTTTTTTCATAATTCATACATTTTTAATTTTTTTTTTTAGAAATTTCACTTTTTTTCAAATAATCACTTATCTGAGTAATTAAATATATTTTTCCCTTTGCACGATTTTTAAACATGTTTTAATCTGTTAATTTTAAACTTTTATAATATAATCTAATTCTACAGAATTAGATCAAATTTTCGAAATTTTTTTTGTTTATTTCAATATTTTTTCTTTTGTAGAAATCTCCTTGGTATAATAAGTTACATATCTATGTATGTTTGAATGTCTTTTTTGAAGCTCTTCAAAATGGTTTTTTTACATTTTATAAAACTCACATATTTTTAATTTTTATTTTCATTATTTTAAGCATTTTTTTGGTTTTTTTTATATTTTATTTATTTTTTTTTTTAAACTATTAACTACTATTTTTAAATTTTACTTTTTCCAAAAGAATTTTTATTTAATACTTAATTCCAATGTTTCTGTAGAAAGTTTAGATTAAAAACACTTTTTTAAGTATTTTTATACATTTTTTTAACTATTCTTTGATACAAATTTTTTGTATACAATTTGTTAAATGTGCACTTTTAAGCTGGTTTTTTATTATGTTATACAAATTTCCACATGTTTTTGTTGTTTTATATTTATTATTGTAGACTTTTTTCTACCAAAAAATTTTTTTAGTTAGTTTTTTATAAACTTAAATATTTTTCCATTTTTTTACTCCTTTTCTCTGAAGTATTTATTAAAAACTGCAACTAAAATAGATTTTTTTATTTTAGAAAAACTTTCCCACATACCGAACACTTAATTTTTATTATTCCAGAAGATTTTTTTGAAAATGTGGTTTTCTATTTTTATATTTTTATAAACTTAAGTATATTTTTTAAACTTTTTCACCGATGTTTATTTTACACTGCCATCATGGTATTTTACATCTGCAAAAAAGATACGTATTTTTCCGATTAAATTTACTTTTATTATTTTAAATAAATTTTTAATTTTTATTTAAATTTGTTTCTGTTACTTTTTATATTTTATTCAACAATTTATTTGAGTTATCTGCACTTTTTTTTAGTATTTTTGAAACAATTTCTTAAAGTTCTTTATTTATAATTTTTTTTCTTAAAAAAAAATCAGTAATAATATAATAAAATAATAAATTTCCACTTATTGTATTATGTATTTTTTATTGTTTTTGTACACATTTTTTTAATTCATCGAAAGAAAAAAATACATACTATCTTTTAGGAACAATTTATTGCAAAATTTTAAATAATATTGTTGTAGGTTAATTTTGAATCTTTTATATGTCACTAAGGAATTAAAATTTTTCGAAAAAATAAAAAATAAAACATGTTAAAAATTGTTAACATATTTTACTTGCTTTATTCCAGCATCCATTTTTATTTTAATTTTGAAATATTTTGTTATTTTTCACTGAGAGGCACAAATATTATATATATTTTATGTTATTTTAGTAAATTTCATTTTTAATTATTTATTATTTATTTACAAACATTACGAAGGAATTTAATTTCTATATATGTCTAAAAATCATTTCTACATGTTCTGAACTTGTTAAATTTTTTTTTACAACCTTTTTAATTAATTTATTTTTTTTTTGTATAATCGTTTTATTATTTTTTTATTATTGTTAAGCAGCATTTTTTATTTAATATATATTTTTTTTATAATTCTAAATTCTTTGAGCAGGATTTTTCACATGTTTAACTTTTACGAATATTTTTCTTAATGCATTTTTATTTTTATTTAAATTTATACACCTTTTTATACCTATTTTTTCATATTTCTAATTTTAGGCATAATTTTTATTTATAAATAAAAAATTTATACTAAAGTTATCGCCAGAGTATTCGTGACTTTCTTTAGTATTTTAAACACGCTACCGAATTACTTTTATAATTATTTCTCAGACACCGTCAAATTTTTATAGTTTAAAGTTTTGCATTTCTTTAAAAGGTCTTTACTTAATATTCGTTTATTAGGTTTGAGTATAAATTTGACACAAACATAATTTTGAGCGGCTATTGTTGTTGTTGTACACATATATTTTTCCACACAATTGCATTTTTGCCTTTTATGATATTTGTTTAGACCTTTTTCATTCGAAAAATGTTTTCAGATTTTTCTTCAATTTTTAGCATTTTTATTTAATTTAAATACCATTTTATTTCTCTTGGTCTCACTTTAACCTTTGAAGACACCTTTTGAAACGGATTTTGTAGCAACAAGCACTCTTACTACAAACCTCATTTGTATTATAAATTCGAAATGTCTTAAAACTGCTCCAGTTTCGTTATTACAAACAGAAAGGAGTCACAAAATTAAAAAAAAAAACATATTATTTTTATCGAAACTCTTTACCTTTACCTTTTTAAAATTTTTTTTCTAATTTCACAGTTCTTAAAATTTCTAAAAGTTTTTACCAACTTCCTTTTCAATATACACATATATATCTTTTAATTTTCATACAATTTCTTCTCCCAAAAATTCACAAATGGCACTCGCTGCATGAAGCCATCATGCAATCCACGTTGTATTCTAGCATCAACACAACACCACAAAGAACCGGCGGCAAATAAATTTTCGTTTCAAACTCGTTCGCGCGCTGCTCACACCGAAAAATAACAACCAAACACGGCAAAAGTCGCTTCCGAACTAAATGGACAAGTTAAATGCGCGCCGAACGTGCTGACAACCTTTGGAGATAAACAATAAAGAATTGTATTCAATTGGAAAAATACGTAAGTCTAAATTAATCAAATTTTAGTGCTGATTACCAGCAAGCATCAATGAATAAGTTTATTGAAGATTTTTACAAGAACAAAAATTTTTAAAATTTCAGGAATACATTTTTCCAAAAATATAATTTAACAAAAAATATTTTTCATGCAAAATTGCTTTCCTTTGCATTTACCAGTATAACGACTTGTGTCATTTCTTTTTAGAACCGTTAAAGTCAACCACTTTGGTTTGCTTAATTCAGCGCTGAATGTAAAGAGAGTTCGAAAACTGGTTTGTTTCGTTTGATTGCATTTGTACGCTCTTTCGTTTGACCGCACTCTTACGCACTGTTCTCTTAAGCACTGCCTTGCAATTCAACTGTGTGACCTTGAATTAGGGGTTTTGTTATGGCAAGCAGGTGGCGGAAGGAAGCTGGTGAGCAAGCTGTTATGGATATAGCCAATTGGAAATTTTATTTTTTTAGTGAGAATTAAATTTTCTACATCCATAGGATAACAGAATTTTTTAAATCTCTCTTAGAACTAGGGAGATCTCCGGTATGGTTCCTAGGGAAGGGTCTTAACCGCGGCCAGCATGCCCTAAAGACCAAGAGAAAGCTCAACGAAGCACGACTGACTCCGTAATCGTATGCAAATAAGGAGAAGAAAAGTTCTTTAGGGGGGGCTTAGCTTGGTAGTGCTTGGTAAGCTCGGTAAGATGCCTGGAAGACATTTGCAAATCTTTAGCAGAGTTCTTGTATGATATTTACGACGAAACACTTTTCTAAGGACTGATGTTGTTGGTGTCTTCACGAAATATTACCCAAAAAAAGTTTGGAAAATGCTGTAGGTGAGAGAGAGACCTCGGCTTGTTGAAACCCAAACCATTTCAGTACATAGAACTGTATATCCTGAGAACTTAAGGCCTTTAGACGTCTCTTACGGTGCCTTACAGTAGCCAAATACTGCAATTCCTAACCAACAAGGTTTAAGACTGTTAGTATAAACGTCGTACGCGTCCTCCTCGCTTTAATCTAGGCTATGACATTATTGCAGTCTTTCTGGTCGAAAAAGAATTAGGAGGAAAGTTAATCTGCAGTAATCTAAGGTAAGAATCACCATTGGTTCATCAATTTGTGAACTGCAATAGACTGGCGATAGATTCCACATCCGAACTTCCCTAAGCGGACTTGGACCGGCTTGAATTAGATTACAAAATATCCAAGATGTGGAGCCACTCTAACTGAACTCTCTACATGTTTCAAGAGACCACTCGCCATACTTAATTTCCTTATAAAAGAACACTCTTCTGGTGATCCCCTCACTTCCTTCTTCAACTCCAAGCGGTTACGGGTACTGAGATGCATAACAAAGTCGACCACAAAACTGCTAAAAGTTCGTTAACACGCGTTCGAACAATAGACAGCAAACACACACACACACAATTTGTCGCCCACAAAACGGAGCGAAAAAAGTAAAAAAAAAAACAACAATAAAGAATTCAAGTCAAATCTAACCACAAACAGTGAAAGGGGGAGCCATGAATAGCCCAAGAAGTTGAGGCGCGCGAACACAAGCAAGCATAGTGGTACTCTTAATACTGCTGGCTCATTGTTATGCTTTGCATTTTCTTTTCGATATTCTTTTTTTGACTTTACTTTTGTTTTGTTTTATGCCCGTCGGCGCTGACTTCTTACTCGCAATGCAAATGGAAACAAAAACCACTCACTGCTTTAAGAAGAGTCAAGAGTTTGACGAAAGACTGTGTGGAAGACGCGCAAAATGCCGGTAAAACCGGTCCAGAAGAACTCGCTACAAATGGTTGGTCTTCAACAAGCGCGGGGGTGGGAAATGTACCATCTTTTGGTGTGGCTGAATATAGAGTGCGAGAGAGTTGTGTAGATAATTTAAGAGCTCAGGCGTGAGTGTGGTTAAAACCTATTTATCTTTGCTCTCTCAATTTCTTTGCGTTGTTTGTTTACATTTTGCCTTTTGTTTTGACTTTACTTTTATTTGTTTACTTTTGATTGTCTTAACTTTGGTTTCTAATATAGCAAATGGAAATGGTTTTCATTCTATTTTTAATATAATTGATATGGTCTACCGGATCTTTTCGGTTATGTAGTACTAAGGATCCCAGTTTATGATGCATCGTCAC